TCTACAAAATGTACTAAGTACCGACTGAAAAGCGCTCCAACACCTGGGAATGTTCCCTCGTGAGTTTAGCTTCTCAACGGAATGTTACTGCTTTTTTTGAACATGATCTATGTATTGAATATAATTCGAAGTTACTCATTCGCACTAACAAGTATTATCTCGACATTGACAGTTTCTATTTTTATTTCGACTGAAAATTAATCATCGTGGACGTTTTACATTCGTTTTTATCGAACATACATTTAAACGATTAAAATCGACAAAAATGAACAGAAATTTACTAGCTTCATTAATCAAAAAAACCATGAAAAAAAAGGAAAAACGAGACGGGTCGATATAATTTCGAACTCATCTATGAATTTTATTTCAACATTTTCATTTCTACATATGAACTCTACTTGTGAAATAAAATCTTTCATCATAAATGAAAGTATATTGACTATGCCTTATCGAGTCTCATCAGCATACATATATATTAAAGGATACATGATCACAAAACGATATTAATAAGAGAATGTATGGAGCATATCAACGTCCCTAATACTATTTATTGCTTTTCGAGAGAACCAATCTTAAACTGTAAGATTAGTGTATCAATGAAAAACAGTCTGCAATGCAACTATTATTGATTACAAGCAGAACACAAACAAATTAGAAAATCTACATATGAATTCGATTTGATTTGATTGAATCGAACAGAATTATTTGTCTACTAGATTTTATTTGACTTTATGGATTCTCATAATTTCAAGCCGAACCAACTTTTCAATAGTTGATACAGTTGTATTAATTATTTGAATTTTGATGTATATAATGATGCTATTTAATACAATAATATCTAAACAATAAAATTAAAGTTTTCATTCGATATCTTCTATTGTTGCTTTGTATGATGGGTAATCGATAAATTTAAAATTCATTATAATTTGTTCACTAATTAGATACAATAATAATTGTTCTATTTGTCAAACGGACATCCGAAACTTAAAAGACACTTAAAAAAAATTTTTATAAATATAAGAATATAAATGAAATTGAGAAAAGAAAAATATTTTTTTTGAAAGGAAATGAAATGATCAATTGATTATATAAATATTATTTTTCTTTCAAAAAATCCTATTTAATTATTAAATAATCGATAAAATAAATAAATATTCCCTATTATTATATAATTGATTATCATTTTATCACGTGCTTTTATAACGTGACTTTAATTGAGTTTGTGTTCTTAACAGTAAGTTATGTAATGCATAAAGACTTTTTACGTTCTTAACGGTAAATTATATAATAAATGAAATCTTTTTTACGTTTGTTTTTTATGATATCATTTAAACCAAGTTGTACTTGATAAACACTCATATATATATATATATATATATATATATATATATATATATACATAAGAGTACATGAAAAGATAAATTCTTCTTCACGATTGAAACAATAAAAAAAGAAACTATTAAATTTAATTTGGTCAAACTTATTGAATAGTGGATCTCCAGTGAATTAACTTCAAAATTCTGTTGAAGTCTCAACAATTTGGCAAAAAACTCTTCACTGGTTTATGTTTAGTTGCTAGAATATCTATTATTATTTTTAAAATGAACAAACAACAAATTCCAATGAAACAAAATCAAGTTGAAAAAAGTCTTGATGATTATTCCTATCGAGATCTATTTCATTTTTTTATTAATCCAGAATTTCACATTGATAAACTTCATCTTGCCAAAGGTATCTTTTTTTAGAAGAAAAAACTTTCTTGTCGTTTATGAAATTTATTATTTTCTTTTTGTCTATAGAATTCAGTGCACGAATGCATTGTGAAGCAGCTGAATATATGATGACTGATCATGAAGATAATCCTGATTTTCCAGATCATTTTACTTATATCGAATATGATAAAGAAAAAATGAATCAAAGATTGGATTATATTTTTCAACGATTATTTAAAGAGAAATATCTCGATTGTAAGAATGATTTCGAAAAAAAAAGTTTTTGTTTATTTAAATATGCTTATTAAAGGGTGTGATGCCGGTCAACCAGTATCACCTGATTCACGTTATTGGTGGGCACAAACAAAACTTCATTTAACAACTTATTTAATTCAACGAGAACCATACCATTTAACAGATGGAATTTGGCTGCGTGGTCTTCAACAAGGACCAATGTCATCAATACAAGCAAAATTATTTTCAATTTATATTGATGAATTAGGAAATGGAGATCCGCAACAAAATCATCCAAATGTTTATTTGAATGTTCTCAAAAGTCTTGGTCTTGATGTTCCATCGATTAATTCCAGAGAATTTGTTGATCAACAAGCAATTCTTGATATAAGTTTTAAAAAACCTCTTTTAACATTAACAACATCACTTTTTCCAAAAACATTTGAACCAGAAATTCTTGGTTACACACTTGTAAGTTTATCTTCATGTTTATTTTTCAATTTTTTTTACATAGTTTTACTTATCTAAAAGTTATTTACACAAAACAAAAGACAATTTTTTCTAATTAATTCATTGTTTGACTCTTTCTCTATGATGAATGTGGCAAACGTTAAAAAACTATGAACGAAAAAGGAGAGACAAGATTCACTCTTCTGGCGAGGGAATTGCTCAAATTGATACCATTCATTTGAATTCATATTGAATCTGACAAAGAGCTATCGATAAGACTATGAGCATTTTTTAAATAATATCGTTCTCAATTAATCATCATCATAAAGAAAACAACAAGTTTATTGAATTCACTATATCAAGAAAACAAAATTTTTTGGGAATAAAACTTTCACAATATTCTATGAATCATTCGACTTATCCAGAGACAAAGTTATAAATCGAAATTCTGTTTTCTTTTAATCAATTTATTATATAGACAAAGTCGACTCGAAAATTTAGTAAAATGATCTTAACTCGGCTCGTAATATCCACGACAATAAACTTTGTTAAATTTTTTCCAGTCTTACCAAGGTATTCTTCGAATTTTGGTATATGCTTAAACAATCGGGACCATTTCTAGATAATCTAATATCGCAAAACATACTCATTCCGTGTTCTATAATCAATATATAATATGAAGAGTGATCCATAGATGACGAATAATTTCATAAGTAGATCTAATCAAGATATTTATAATAGTTATCAGAATAACTACCTTTGATACAAAATATTTATGTTATTAAAACGCGTTATTTACCATGGTTCAATTGTAAAATAATTTATTTCTAGTGGCTCGAAACAACATCAGCTGCTGAACACGCTGGTTTACGAAAAATTCTTGAACGATACAACTTAGATCCAAAATTTTCTCTTCTTCATACAGCAATTGATAATAATTTGAATGGACATGGAAAATATGCACGTGATGCTGTTGATGAATATCTTGATCATATTTACAAAACACAAGGTCAACAAGCTGTTGAACAACATTGGAAACGAATATGGACTGGGTATTAATATTTATTTAAGTTGTTCTTTTGTCTGTTATTAAAATTTTATTTTAGATATGTTGCTTATGGAACAACTGGAACTATTGATGATGATCTTAAAAAATTATTTAAACAACAAAAAGAATTAACACCACGTGACGAATTTATTCAATTGATTAAAAAGAAAAGTTCTTTTGCACAAAAAATGCATGGATCACGACGTATCGGTCCTCATAATTATTTATTAAATGAAATGTTTGCATCTGGTGATCCTCAAACACTTTGTGATGAACTTGCCAATTCAGATTTGATTGTTAAAGGTCATCCTGATAAAAGCAAATTTCTTAATCATGCCGTTTCATTTCAAGGACCTATGTATCAGGTATCAGACTTTTTCTATTTTACTTTATTCTTATTTATCAAACGATAACTAGATCAAAACGTAACACGAATACCTACTTTCTTTCTCATCAGTCTCATTCATTCAAATAAATCAATCAACCACTATTTTCCACAATGCAACTCAACTAATCAGCATTTTTACTTTCACTTTTCACTCAATCAAATTTCCAGGCACTGGAAAATCTAATAATCAGGGTTTTTATACCAGGCAGATATATTTGGAAAGGTCTCTGTTCAAAATAAGTGAGACTATTGAGAACAAAAAGAAAATGAGCACAGCTCACAACAAACAAGAGAGAGAAAGGAAAGAAAAAAATTATAAGTGGCATATGTTACATATCATACGTAGAAAATGCATGATGATAATACATGCACGAGAATACTGAATTAATCGTTCGACGACGAAAGAAAAGTAACTTATACCCATTGAACGGTATCATATGTTAAATCGTGTCTTTTTGTACTCCTAACAATCTTAGTCTATTCAATATTTAGAAATATAACGGTTGAAAGTCAGGTAACTGAAAGAGTTCATTATGAAAGATAAGTTAATGTCTAATGAAAATAGATAAATTCATAATAATAGAAAGGATTAGATCTATACGACAAACATCATAACCAATTAGCTAGAGCAACACTACACTGTAAACAATGTCAAATAAGAGTATATATATAATAGGCTTACGAGATGGAAGGTATAGAGTAGAGATATAGACTAGGAGACAGAGATGTCCATCGCGGCGCTGCCGCTGCCGCTGCCGCTGCCGCTGCCGCTGCCGCGGTGGCGGTGGCGGCGCGGCAGCG